TACCTTGACTCCGACGTATTCCTCAATGAACTACACAATTCATCAGTACAAGTCATTTTTTCAAACAGTGGTCACTGTACCTCAACGTATGCACGCGCTTCTTTAGGTAGCTCCTCGAAGGACTTGGCATTTGTCGTGGGTGTTTGCCATCCCGGGAAATCCTTGTACACAACCTCACATTGATCCAAGATATCCAGATCAGCTGGGTATGACTCGATTTCCTACAACAACATTAGTGCATCGCCACAGAGTATGGAATCGTAGAAGGCTTACCTTGCCATCGATCTTGTAGGCTGTTGCGACGCGGATTGTCTCAAAGGTGTCGAGAACATCGAGCTGAAAGATGTCAGTTAGTATCGTGACGAACAGCTGGTAAATCGCAAGTGCTTGCCTTGGTCAAGTTCAGAGCGGTGTAGTTGTTGATGTCATTGGAATACTTCAAAACCACCAAATCGAGCCTACATAGTGTTAGCAAGTCTCTCAATGAACACGGCCCTGCTTACCATCCGCATCGGCGTCTGCGACCAGTGGATGTTCCCTTGGCACGTTAGACTAAGTGATCAATAAAGTAAGAAAGTGTTAATAGTGTCTCACCCATTCTCGTCCAATTTCTTGGAGCTTGGTTCCGACCCTGCATTGAATCAGCCTCATATTCGCATTCCTCAACAGCGAGTTACTCACTCTCCCAAGTCTTCGGTCTTGAAGGCTCCCGAGCCCACTCTTGTCGTGTAAGCCTTGACGACTCCGATGATGTCTGTGATCTTGGTGGGGTCCAGGGTAAGTCCGCCGATAATACCGGCGAGCGAGGTGTTGGACGATGTTACGTACTACTTCGTCAGCTATGATGACCCGGTATCGGAGTTGGGTTTATGGAAACTCACAGGATAAGAACCATAGTCAAGATCGAGCATGAGCGCCTGGATAACCGGAATCAGCACTGCATCACTAAACTCATACCAAAATTCTCACGTTCGCTCCCTCGATCAGAATGGGAGTATTGCTCTTCTGCGCTGACTTCATGAAAGATACTCCATCAACAGAATATTTGCGCAGCTTCTCTCGGTACTGCTCAAACTGAGCAAGCTCCTCTTCGACGTCGTACTTGAAGAGATCTCCATAGCGCTTTCGGTAGCCGTCGGCCAAACGTCGAAGTTTCTGCTCGAACAGCTTGGGGTTGAAGACATCGGCCAGTCTAATGCCACTTCGCTATTGGGGTTTAGCAAGCATTCCAGAGGAGTTTTGAGTGCCGTCATACCGCAGCTTTGCAGCTATAGGAGGGTCCGATACCTGAAAAGGTCAATATTAAGTCATGTATGAGACATTTTTTTAAACAAACCGCGTCCAGTCGTTCCAATCTTGCCCTCTAGTCAGTGTTAGCCATGTTCAGCTGCATGTGCCACAAGACCCGTAACCAACCTCCGAGCTCCTGTTCCTCAAGTCCATCAGCTGCGATGTGGAGCTGCAGGTCGATGTGCACTCGATCAGACACGCGAATTCTATCGTGGACCGCCTCAAGTCCTTTGTCCGATAGATCTTGTAGCTCCTTGAAGAATTGCGGCACGTTAAAGACCACTCCAGAGCCGATGAAGTTCATGCTATTATATGTCAATTGACTCGGTCGCTGGCTGCGTTTCAGGTAATGGGTTGGTAGTACCATTTCGGGTTGATGAGTCCGGAAGGAAGCAAGTGGAAGCTAGCAGTCGATCAGTCGTCGGAGATCTCGTAACTCGAGCGTCGGTTTGTTACCTGTACGAAACTCCATTGGCACTGCTGGAGTTAATTATCCATTTATACGAAACGGTTTCCACCAGAAAATATGTCCAACTCACACGATAGAGTGTCCTGCGTTATGGCCTCCCTAATCTTCATTTAATAAATGCTCGTCTCGGTCGGTTGCGTTATGACTCACAGCAGCGCGAGCGCAGAGTTTAGCCTCCGGGGCAAGGATATCGGTCAGCTTTCCTTTCTATACCATTAACAGGTCAGTATTTCCTCTCCCAATTGTCTTCCAATTGTCTTGGAAACACGTACGCCTTCATCTCCTGTTGAGCAGGAAGTATTAGCGCATCAAGGAACATCAATGCCATTGCTTGCGGAAACTTGAACCAGCAGAGTCCGCATAACATTTCAAAGCTGTAATAGCGCGTACATACCCCATTGGGAGCCAAGAATGATCGTGATGGCCATGTTAAAGATCGAAACGACGGTTCTCGGTGGTTGCGTTGTTATCGCTTGGAGAAAATCACGAAGATGGCATGCAGGAAGAAGAACCACCCCACCATGACATGCCCCGCCGGATAAACAGATTCACCGAAGTCGCGACATCGGAGTACATATGACACTTTAAGTCTGTGTTTCTTGAGATCGTCCCTACGCCTAGAACTGAGAGGTTCTTCGAAGAATCACCTGAGATTCAGTGTAGCCAATACTTTGGAACAATACTCCGTAGCATTACCCTCAATCCCACATCCTCTTTTCGCATTTCAACCTCTCGAATTAGGCTTACCCTTCCAGTGAAACGGCTCTGCAAGACAGCCCCTGTGAGCTAGCCAAATCTAGTCTAGCTAGCATCTCCTTAAGGCTGAGCAACGGATCCTTCGTTTCCGATCTAATTACGCGATTGGCCAGCTCGCATTTGACTGCGCACTCTTTGGCGAGCATGCCATCCAACTCGCATTTCAGCATGTCGGACTCAATGAGGCATTGCAAACAACCTCAATCTTAGAAACAGAAAATATACTTATAAGGCCCCCAAATCCCATCTCATCATGTATCTGTATCATCTTCAGTATCAATATTCAGTATGCATTCTAATCTTGGAGCTCTTATTCTCTATCTCCTTTCGGGATCTGCTTTGGCATCTGCAATCCCTGCACAAACACAATCCCACGATGTTACCCTTGTAGCTCGTGCCACTGCGACAGAGACAGCTGCGCCAGAGGGATGGTTTACCACTACGAAAAACATCGCTACTATTGGCGGTACAACAGATAAATACGTTACCATCCCCGCAAAAACAATCTCAATTGTCGTCCCAACATGTGTCCAAACTCTCGAGCCCGATGAGAACGGATATCTCCCCCCAGGAACATGTAATGCCCACTGGAACTACTACCCCAGCTTTGCAGCTGCTGTAGTGTTCGCTTTACTTTTCGCGGCATTGACTGGTGTGCACATTTGGCAAGCTGCTCGGTATAAAAAGGTCCGTATGTTTTACTTTTGTTGTGCGCTGTGTTAGGTAAAGCTGACTGGTACAGACATGGTGTTGGGTTATTATCATGGCGGGGATCTGGGAGACAATGGCGTTCACCTTCCGAGCGATAAGCACGAAACATCAGCAAAGCACGGGTGTGCTTTTGACGTTTAATATTTTTATTCTTCTGGCGCCAATTTGTATGTCAGACGTATTCCCTTGACATCGCATTACTAACAATAGCAGGGGTCAATGCGTACGCATACATGACTCTCGGTCGAATGGCCTACTACTTCATACCATCTCAATCCCTACTCCGCATGCCTGCTGCTACTTTGGCTGCTGTCTTCGTTGGCCTTGATATCCTGTCATTTATTGTTCAGCTCATTGGCGGAAGTATGTCTGGTCCTGGGTCACCACCTGACGAGCAGATGAAAGCCGTGCATATCTACATGGGTGGCATCGGTCTCCAAGAATTCTTCATTGTTATCTTTGTCGTCCTCTGCTTCCTCTTCCAGAAGAAGATGCACACGATTGAGCGCCAACACCAAGGCATCAAAACCTTTGTTACCTCGGACTGGGGCATGCTTCTCTGCACGCTATACTTCTCACTTGCCATGATCTCTGTGCGTATTATCTACCGGCTCATCGAGTTCTCTGGTGGAATGGGTCAAGGCAATGCTCTTGTCACACATGAGGTGTACTTCTACATTCTTGAAGCAGCACCTATGTTCTTGGCGCTATTGGCGTTTAATGTTGTTCATCCAGGAAGGATCATGACGGGTCCTAACTCGGACATGCCTGGATTGTTCTCTTTCATCAAGAACAAGATTCGGATCCGGAAGGGAAAGCAGCTATTGGACGATCGCAGCGACAGTGATGTCGAGCTGAATCCCCGGTACGAACCGACTAGAGAGGTTGGGCATTATGATACTGAGCCCCCGCGTTATGGATAGGTTGACTTTGGGTTGGTTGTTCGATACCTAGAGATGGAGTTCTGTGATGTTTTTGATCTGAGTGATTTGCTTGGGAAGTTAGGGCAGCCCAGGAGTTCAGTATAATCCGCAACATTTTGGTCCTGTGGTGGTTTTTTATATAGTAGAGTAGAGCCTAGAGATACCTTATTTCATTACTTTCTTGAAAGAATTGCTTAAGAGCCTCCCTATCAAATAGTGATGTATATTTTCCCATGATTATGCCCCTAAAAGTAGTTGGCGTAGTAGGTTAAAAAAATAAAAATAAAAAGCTTGAGTATCGGGACAGCTTCAGGGTAATACTCATAACTTGTAAATTCGGTCATCCTCAGGAATCTCTTGATCCTAGCATCGCCCTTTGAAGCATAGATAATTGTACTGCTTTCTAGTAATATCGACAATGGGAAAGAAAATTATTGAGAATTTATTTTTCGCTTTTTAGTCTGCGGGTTATGGTAGGAATCTCTTTCTCTCTTTCTTGGTCTCGAGGTCACGATCCGAAAATCCGGGGATGTGGGCTTGTGGAGCTTCTATGAAGCACGGCGTTGATACAACGTCAAACAATACACTTGTACCTCTTTAGGATGTTACCACCAGTCGATCTTGGGTCACAATTGAAATGTCGCCATTCTTTGTCTCGTCTCAAAGCGGCTTGTGATTTTCGTTTCTCAAGTATGCGTTGTGATGTCATTCTTCTTGACGTCACCATATCGTAGAGGAGCTTGACTTAAGCTCACCTCAAGCTCCCAAGCTCAACTTGCAATAGACAAACCATCAACACAACCGAACCAAACTCCTCTCACAATAAAATAACCAATTAATCAATCATCAAAATGCGCTTCCTAACCACTCTCCGCCCAACAACCCGTATCGCCCCGCGCATCCCCATCCGTCCCTTCCACGCCGCCCGCATCCTGCATCAAGACCAAGCCAAAGACAGCAACGGTAGTTTCATCGACGGTCTCGCAGAGGGCGAAGCCAAGGGGCGCACAGGCGGCGGCGAACCCCTCGACGCTACTTCTAAGAATGCACCTCCTCAGCCTAAAGTGTCGAACCAGAGTATCCCAGGGAACCAGACTGATGAGTTGACGGAGGAGCAGAAGAAGGAGGTTGAGGAACACAATAAGGACTTTGATAATAGGCATGATCGTGGGAATGTTGCGCCGGGGGATAAGGTTGATAAGAAGTTCTGGGGGGATGGTAGACATGGGGAGAAGGATAATAAGGATGCGACGCCAAAGGAGGATAAGTGAGGGCGATATGAAGGGCCTGGATGCCAATGGATGCAAGTAATATGAAGGCCCGTGAATTATAAGTATACGTTATTAATGGGGTCAATGGAATGAGTTTTAAGTGTCTGAACGTTGTCGTGGCGTTCTGTTTGCCCATTCCATATGAGAAGCCCCTGATGAATTATTCATTCCGCCAAGTTCTTGGAACCGCCAGGATGAAATCTAGACCCGAGGCTTTGCTTAATTCTGTCGTTAGCAGCAACGTGCTCGTTAAGTGTTTATAACAAAGCCCCTCAACTCGATGCATCATCTCCACTACCTCCCAGCAGGCATGGGGGCATGATGTTGACTTCCTCTACCCCAAAGTGACTGATTCGAAGCTCGAAATCATTGCATGCTTACGGGATACTCACTCAAGAACTAGGACCCTGCCCAAGCGTCCATCCTCGGTAACATCTTTGCTGCTACCAGTCTGGGGAAGTGGATCTAAGATTAGACCATCTCCTACTAGCCATTCATGGCAGCCAGATTACAATTTTAGCCAATCGCATAACACGGCGTAGTGCCATTCCTCACAAGTAGGGCCGCATCTCGTCCCCCATGCAGGTGTTTACGAAGGACCTCGCTTCATTTCTCCATCTCGGGGGTATTTTTGCGCGGGACAGGGCCATAGTATAGAGCCCTAGCATCATTTATCTTCCTGCGTTGACTTACCAAGTATCTTGCCATGTCTCGGCCCAAGAAATAACACTGCAGATCAAATTCAGCAAAGACCGTAATGCGGAACGCCATTGTGAGAGCTGATCCAGCTATTATGATACATCCACACTGGTTCCAGTGAGGCAACGCCGAGCTGGCCATCTCCCAGGATGCTATATGATAGCGGTGAATAAAGCCCACGTTTGGCCGTGTAAAACGTCCCTACAGGGATCGGTCGAGTTTGAAGCTGCTCTCCTCCTCTATCGCAAGCTGTCTCTGGACATCGACGATCTCCATATCGGCATCCACTCGAGGTCTACAACTAATAATATTATCAGCACAGTGGTTCGCCAGCCTAAAGCTGTTGATTCTATGGCGGTTCGCCCGGAGCTCATGTGTTGTCCAAATTGTAGGAATGCCTGGCGATTCCCAGAATGTCTTCAAAATGTAGGATGAAGAAGAGAACAAGACAGCAGCATTTATCACCACTAGTCTCAAGACAAAATGAGTATATAAGAGAATTCATTGTCCCTCAATATTTCAGGTCTATAGTTATGGACAAATCCAAGCACCTCATCGCCAGTACATTATCACAGATTACCCCTTCATCATACCAAACCCTCACTACATCAAACTTCCCCGCGGAGAAGATCCCTCGCCTGACACTGAACAGCAATATGCTTCTTCCTCAGAGCAAATGAAGAACTGGCTGCGAGAGGGCTTCAAAGATATGCCGTGGCACAACATTGATTCGGTCACTGTATGTGACACGCCAGACGACTCCAACGTCAGCGGCGCACCGTCTGACACCCTTGCCACGCAAAGTAGTGACAAGTAGTACCCCGCTCGGAAGATGTTCTGATAAAGGTATTGTAGAGGTCTTAACCATGAGGCTAGTATAAGCTAATACCGTGTCTTTTTGGTCAGATGATCCCAATCTGGTTGACCATGCACATAACTCGTTTACGGCAGTCGATGAATGATCAATTCAGAACTGGTTTCTCACTGCGGTAACATCAACAAAGACGGGCCCGTATCGCGTGGTTAGCGTAGGTATATTATGCCGAGCGAAAAGGACTTAGGCCATCCAGGGCAAAAAGTAGTGAGGATTAAAAGAAAGCATCGTATATCGAGGGGGTTGTGCGTAATGGTAAGAGCAGAATATAAACTTCGTTCATGAGTACCCCGATAGCTCTCTATAAGGCCAACTCTACAATTGCTTCCATCTTCGTGCATGTTATCAGAGAATTATTTGGTTACGGCAACGAAATTTTGTAAATAGATGATCTGCTGGTACAAGAAAGGATTATAACAAGCCTAAATGAGATGGTAGTACCGAGTATTCGGTATCTGCAGCAGAATGCCTCGAGTGTCAGACAGGTAGTGAGAATTCCAGAAGTTTTCTGGAATTGTTCTATAGCGTTTCTCTCAAGCTTTCCCGTGACTGGTAATAAAGGTACTAACTTGGCTGACACCATCCATAAAAGGTACCTTCGATGGGATTCGAGGCCAGCAAGATTCTTTTAGTCTAAAACCACACCTCGCCCATTGGAACCCTTTTTTTTTTAGTTTCGCCCTCTGGTGTATTTCTGTTTGAGTCTCTCGGCAGCTGGCTTCGCCGCGAAGGTAGCCTTAAGATCTTGGCCAACTAACTCTATCTGCCTAACCCACGTCAGTCCATAACGATACCCCGGACGTGTCTGCAGATTCAAAGCTGTGGCTTGGGATTTCAAGGGCAATTTCTTAGGTGGTTGGGTCGTTTCTTGTTTCTCATGATCATGGGTCTCAATCTTTAGTGTCGTCAAATCCTAACCGGGCTCAACTGTATGCAAACAAATCCGGTAAAGTTAGACAGTTGAAGATTCATTTGGTCGGCCATTTCAACTTCCCACAGGATAGATCTAAGCCACTAGGCCAGAATATAGCCCAGGATGTTTTCATAGCTCCGGCACTTCTAAAGGCTAATTGTGTACATGAGTCGTGAAGTGCCAGGGTGGACCCGGCAGAAGGGTACAGTTCCGAAGCCTTTCGGAGTAAGAGTCTTAAAGCCCTTCTGACAATTGGGCAGAGCCGAACATAAAAAGGGGAAGAACTGCCGTCAGCCAATCATTGGATCTAAGCACATCCTTGTAATCCACGGCAGCTGTGCAGCTGAATGCAGCTGCCTAGTATGCTCTTTTCCATCTCGATTGAATACCATTGTTGGACTAGCTAGGACTGAGTTCCGCCATCTGTTTTACTTTTGAGGAATCTCAGATTACCCCAAGAGGAGCCTCGCAGTCGCCTGGGCATGCTTGATAACGCTCCTCAGTTCGGTGCCCATCGTCATGATTATCATCCCCGGTACCTTACCTCCCTACTTGCCCAGTATCAGACCCCATTTCCCTGAAGTGTCTGCCGAAAGCACGGATACTTCTTGGCAAACATCTGGGCTTTGATGTCGGGCGTAGGTGTGGGTTCCGAGATCCTGTAGTCTGATACTCTTCGTTGACCTCTCTCTCATCTCCGTATTGACTCACGGTTTCGGGCTTATCTCTAAAGCCCCAGGATATGGGATAAGCATCCCTACTATGTATTCCCTGTGTAAGGCAGACAGGGCTATCATCCTTATGCATCTGTCTTTCCTATCACTGACGAAGTGACACAACATGACATGTAGGCAGCATGTCGCCCATGAGATCACCTGCATGGCGACGCTCTAGAACCTCAACCTGCCGAGTGGCATCTGGCCCATGGCATTATTCGAGCTGCCAGCACTGCGTAAAACAGAGGAGGTGCCTGGATTGCAATTGATTCTCAATACTACCATATCGTAGTCGTAGGATCAACGGGCTAATGTGTGCCGGCGGTCTTCCATCCCAGCGCACTTGGTTAGTCTGAAGAGAGCCTTGCGTAAAGGCTTTCCAGGGGTCGCGCCATGAGCGAAATGTAATACAGCCGTCCGGCCTGAGCAGCGGATCGAGATGTCAAGTACCGCCTCAGGGGAATGGAGAAAGGCTTCATTGGAGTAATTATGAGTGATACTCCCGAATGATGAAAAAGAAAGCATAGCAAAACTTAGCATTTGAGGACCATAGAGTACATTGAGGCCTTACTCCACCTCGACGTATCTTCCTCCCTCATGTTTCATCGATCCGCAGTCAAACAATCTCAGCTGAGCAAGGTGCCGTCGACAAGGTTCCTGGAACTTTGAGATCAGAGAGGCTACCTTATTAGATTAGATCGGGACTAATAAATTGGCGATTGATGGGAAGATGGAGGTGGAGTGGAGTTGGTAATCCAACATACCAGGCAAAAATGACCAGACTAAGGTACGGTTAAGGTGACCTCCGGCCAGATCGTCGTTAGGTAGGTTAGTAGATACCAGTACGGATCCAAATATAAATATCGGCCAACTCTGGTAAAGACCTCAAATACACGGTCGACACCGTCCTCGGCAGGATTTTCAGCTCTTGATAACCTGTCTTATGAAACAATCCGTCAACTGAACATGTTGCATTACCCCGAATGTAGTATCGCGTAAGTCTCGCATGCCATGACCAATAGCTAAGGTATGCCCGGCATAGGAGGTGGCGTAGGCGTTCTGTGCATGTTACCCAATATCTGGGACTACCTTGCGCTTTAGAACGATGGAAGTACCTAACAGGTAGGTAAGTTACCTAAGGTACCTACTTAGCTAACTGTGACCATCATTTCGCCAGATTTTGTCTAGTTGAGCCTGCAGTGGCCCGCCCGGCAAACTACACATGATCAAATCGCAGTAGCAAGGTTTGGAGCATATTTGGGACCATCCCCGAGCCATCTGTTAGCTTTGCATTCCCTGGGCCAGCCTGCATGGTATTGAGGAACGAACGGAAGGGAGTGGTTCAACCCGCCTTCCAATATGCGGCTGAGCTGTACGGTTGCTGCCGATCAGGTTTTGTGTATACTTCCGATTGTTTCTCGATCAGCCGTAGCAACACTAACTTAGTAGACAACGGGTGTCGTACCCACCCTTCTGGTGTAGATCTCAAAATAAAGGTGATCATTTCAGCTTGCAGACCGCATTGCATCCAAACCCCAACCTCTACACAGCTATTGCTCCGGGAAGAATGGACCAAAAGTTTTAGAATATGCTGAACTCGGTTCCGGCATATCTAGGAAACGGCTTTGGGGAGGCAGTAGTAGGAACACAGAACTAGAGAAGCGTATCGCAGTTTGTTTACTGTTTGGCAGCATTCAATCCCTAAACAATATTTTCTTTTGGGTGCTTTTTATCGTCAAGCATATGACTTTGTAAATCGCTAGCAACGCCAACCGGCAATGGGGCATGGCCGTGACGGAACACGTATGCCACCCGTGGTTCATCGCATGCATGTGCTTTCATCCACATTCAAGGCTTAGCAAGGTAATGTCTCTGGGATACCATTTACGGTAGGTGTATGCGGTCCTTGTTCCTCAGCGGCTCCTCCATCCCTAGTCCTGCGAACCCCACCTCTCCTTTGCAGACAAAAGGGGAGCTGACACATTCCTACCGTCGAACATTTCAAGTCCTGTCATGCAAGTTTTGGCAGTGGACGCGGATACAAAAGGTCTCATTGTTTGTCGTCTCCAACACCAACACCCCCAACAGCCATCCTTGCTGCTTTTGGTCCCATTTCTAAAAGTTTAGCGCATGTTGCACCCCTGAAAAGTTTCCCTGTAATCACAGTATTGTCTCCGTAATGAACTTGTCGAGCCACTTTTCCGGTGACACATTGATCATTGATGACATCCGCTCCGTCTCCCACAGTTTTTGACTGCAAAGCACCCACACGGAATCACAACAGCTAGACACCCAAGCTCCACAAGTCTGATCTCCAGGCTTTTGCTTATACTAGATACCCGGGCGCTGGGGTACCTTTCTCAGGTCTTCTAACAGTAGCAAAGTCTCTCTCGTCAAGGACGCTGAAACTAGCGAGTTGCATGCACTGCCAGCAAGGAAGCCGCGCCACGCAAGCACCAGCTATCAGGTCTATCATCTCGAAACAACACTCTCACTGCATACACCGCCAGCACTTGAATTATAGGTACAGTTTGGCCGGCGAACCTGCCTGCCATGTTGCCAACACAGCCGGCAGCCACAAGCGTAGACACCCGCCTGAGCAAGAGGAATGTTCAAGGGCTGGCTTCGAGGCGGAGTGGTTAAGTAGTCTTGTGTATGATGCTATTGGATGCCTCGAGATTGCGGGGGACAAGGGCACCTGATTCAGTGGTTTGATCCTTTCCCATGGACGTGCATGGTAAATGCGCTTTGATGAGTAAATAGGCATTTTGGGGTTGATACCGATCTTACTGCAGAGTTCGCCGAGCTCGATCTGACGGAGAGACCTGCAGCGCTGACGATGGTTCCTATTGGCGAAGAGAAATAGGGTAAGGTAATTTAGCAATTTAGAAGCCTTGGAGTACTTTTGGGGCTCAGTTCATCGAGAAATATGTTCCTCTTGCGTGTTAAATTATCTGAGGTTGAAAACTCGGACTTCAGCGATGTTGATAGTGTTTCGCAGTACGGAGTATAAACGTTGAGATTAGCGGTATGAACTGCTAATCCCGCGGGCGGGGGCTGCTAAATTGGCGGCGGGAAGCTTACCGTCCTACGGCAAAATCCCATTCGATAAAATCCCATTCGATTTTTCGGTCTCCACAAGGGAAACCGATCTAATGGTTGCAACTCCCGAGCATACCTCACAGTCGTAGGTGCCTTGCGCTAGGCTCGGCCAACTTAGTGCTCAACGCAGGTGTGTACATCCAACCACTGCAAGAACAGTCTTAATGAAAATGCAGTATACGCAATGTGATTGCTGCGACAACAATGTCTTGCAACTCTCATGGGTTAAAGTTGGGCTCTAACTGTAGGTAAAAATAAGGAACCTTATCGATTTGTGTCCAACGTAATCGTCGGTGTTATCCTTTAGCTTGATGAAGCCCAGGTAGTTTAGGTATGGGATAGGTTTGCAACCAACATCACATGCGTACATACCTTACGTACATGGCTATAGTTCTAATAAGGACGTCTCTATTGATTATCGAAACCTGGGCACGTGACGACTGATTTTCCGCTCAGATGTCAGCCTGGATGCCAGCCTGGCTGTCCTGATGAATGGCCTAATGGGTGTCCGCACGGTAGTCTGATGGGTGTCTGCTCGGATGCCGCATCTTCAGGAAGCCAATCAGGATGAGCCAAGAGCTGATTCGATCTGGCGAGGTAAGGTAAGGTTACAAGGGATAGGACAAGGCAAAGAAAAGGCGGCCAGAATTGTGCCATTGCCGTCTCCTCGACACGCCAGGGACAAGGTACAGTAACATTGAACCCTGACTTGCATGCATATGGAGGTGGCAGAGAAAACAAGGGCGCTTAGCCTTTTTCAGACACTTGCTATAAAAGAACCAACAAACAGACAAGCGGACCAGGCGTCAGACGACAGACGACAGCCATATAAATCTGTATTGTTATCGGATTCACCAATCTCACTACCTCTATCTGTTGTCTCAAGGCAACCTGATTGTTATATATAATGACATACCCCGGGTCATCATACTGCATAGTCAACGACTATCCTCAAGCACATCCTCCTATATCCTCTTCTCCTCTTCATCATGCCAACCCCCTTCTACGTTCAAGTCCCCCGTCAAGGGAACCAATCACCCAACTTTGTACATCAGAGCACCGCATACTCTGAGAGGACGAATGCTTGGTTGCGAGAGGATCATAAGGATATGCCGTGGCATATCATTGATTCGATTGTAACGTCTAGCAGTAACACATCTGACCCCAACCCCAACACCAGCGCTTCACCAAACCCTGCCACTCAGGGCAGTGCCAAGTAGGCTCCTGTCCTGAATATACGTTCCGGTACTGAGGTATCGTTGATGCACCCCTCTGCCCAAGCTAGACATAACTAACATGATCCATCCCCATAGGCAAGCGTCAAGTCAACCTCGTATGCCACATTACTTCGTCGGTAAACATCCCACTCAAAGCCCTCAGCGCAGCAGTCGACATGGCCACGACTTGACTCGGTCCCCGGAACTCGAACGACAGCAGAAGAGACACACAAGTCGCACGGCTGAATACAGTACAAGTTAACGTCTCTGTATTGATGGGCGCAATTAAGAGCTTCCTACTTCAAGCCCGTGAAGCTCGGGATATATATGTACATCAACCTCTCCATGGGAGGGATGATAAAAACCCTGAATAGTTTGGTCAGTACTCTGACAAAACAGGAACATGTACGCAGAACAAGGTGTAACGATGGGTATCAGGAAACTTATAATGGAATCATACAAGAATTCTTGTCAAATACAATCTAGCGTGAAGTTTGTAGGTCATCATTTGGGAGGGGGTTATGTCATGAACGTAATAAAATAGTGACTTACTCAGCATACATATGTTCATTTGGGTTGAACAAACATTTCGGTTCGTCCAGTCTATACCAACGCCCCTCGTAATCATCATCTCAATTCATCCACGCGACCTTTACGGCCGAGCGAGTCCAGGTGAAGTGGTCCCAAAGATTTGACCGATCGTCCCGCGAATCTGGTCAACAAGAGCCTTGATCATGCCCTGAGGCTTGCCTCTTCCATCAAGCCCATGGACAGGCTCCGTACCCATCGTGGGGAGAACATTGTCGCCAGCAGACAGACTGACGAACAACGCGAACGGCACGAGCCAAACACAGAGACCAAAGTACGACGCGATTTGCGCGAAGCTAGGAACATCGGCCTTGTCGTAGTACGAGGTACGTTGGTACGCGCGCGACTGCGTATCGGAGAAATGACGGAACCAAACATAGTGATTGACCAAAACGAGAACTACATCTCGTTAGCAAGAGCCCAATTTGCCCATCCCGCATAGGCAACATACCACATGATGCCAGGAACAACGGATCCGACAGCTTCACAAAAGGAAAGCGTCTCATATTCCCCAGGTACACCACATGCGACACGATCGTCAAGACAGTAGCCCAGAAGGGCAGACCATCAACCAGCCATAGAACCGTCTGAATGCCAATGACGCTGTAGATAAGACGCGTCAAGAACCGCTTCGCGATAACGCTGTGCTCCTCGACGAGCTCGGACAGGTAGTAAAGACCCGAGGCGATAGCAAGAGTCAAGAAGCAGAAACCCAGGAGGGTTCCAATGTAGCCGACAAGAGGTAGAATCCACATTTTGCGTTGCGTTGTGTTTTGGCGCAAGCAATGATTTGAGTTGGAGCTCACATGTTGGAAGGAGGGGAGATGGTTATCTGCAGGAGGTTGAAAGAGATGTTTTGGACACGGTTTTAACTACCAATCAGTTGCTCCATTCGTCGGCGAAATGAGGCTCCGATCCCGATGGTGGTGGGGGTCACCGCTAAGAAGTTGGTCTTATCGATAGCCACGAAAAAGTCGGTTTTGCTCAACACCAGGAAATCGGCAATAAGGTGCAGCTCCAGGCTTCGTGACCCATTCATTTATCACAATTCCCTTTTCGAAGTTGGAGATTTGTGCCAGGCTCAAAAGTCATTTGACTTACAGTATTCACCATGTCTCGTCCTGAGGATACCCTGTATGTCACCACAACCCCGCCATCATGCCCCTCAAGCTCACAGAAACAGTGCCGCCGACGTCCACTATGACGATACCGAAGCGCGCAAGTACACCACGAGCTCTCGAATCCAAAATATTCAGGCCTCTATGACACGAAGAGCCCTGGAACTCCTCGATCTCAAGTCACCATCCCTCATCCTCGACGTTGGCTGCGGCAGTGGTCTCTCCGGCGAGATCCTCTCCTCAATCGAGCCCGAAGAAGGCGGCCCCCACACATGGATCGGAATGGACGTCTCACCGTCAATGCTGGACATTGCACTTCAGAGAGATGTAGAGGGTGATCTCATGCTAGCAGACATTGGCCAAGGCGTGCCCTTCCGAGCTGGTACCTTCGACGCAGCGATCAGCATCTCCGCTATCCAATGGCTCTGCAGCGCCGAAACAAGCGATACATCGCCCTTCGGCCGCCTAACCCGCTTCTTCAACGGTCTCTACGCATCCCTCAAGCGCGGCGGTCGAGCAGTCTGCCAATTTTACCCTAAGAACGATGAGCAGCGTCACATGATCACCCAAGCCGCTGTAAAAGCTGGCTTTGGCGCCGGTATGCTCGAAGACGACCCCGGTACCAAGAACCAGAAGCTGTATCTAGTACTCACCGTGGGAGGCGGTGACATCCAGAAGAAGGGCGGTGATATTACTGGTGTTGTTGAGGGCATGGAGGGCGTGGATGTTGAGGATGCGAGAAGGCAGATCAAAGCGCATGCCCCGAATATGTCAAAGGGTAGTAAGGCGTGGATTGTCAAGAAGAAGGAGCAGATGGAACGGAAGGGAAAGATTGTTAAAGCGACATCCAAGTACACTGGACGAAAGCGACGGATACAGTTTTAGGGTTGTGAGCTGGTTTGGCATTGTATGGCGTTGGGTGGGAAAATCTTTCGTTCTAGACCTTTCAATTTGACACGGATACCCTTTGAAGTTCTTACAGTTCGCTCGTTGAAAAGATCGAGGCATTTGCATTCTGATGCTCGTTCAGTGAGTTCTTTGCTTCTCGAGTCACACTCAACTTAGGCAGCTGGCCAGAAAGCTTCTTCGGCGTCCAAGACATCATGCCACTTCCCTTGAACTCTCTTCAACAGCTTCTCCTTAATATCCTCACCCTTCTCCTCAACGAGCTTGTTCACAGCATCATCGATAATCCTTCCAAGCTCATCCACAAACTCAACAAACTCCTTACACGTCCAGTTGTTGATAAACTCTTTCCTCACAGCCCCACCATCCGCATCATTACTCCCATCATCATTAGAAAGCTGCGCCTTAGCCCACGACCAAGCATCAAGGTAACACTTTTCCGTTCCCCAGTAGATCACCGCAGCTTCCAGCCAAGGAAGTTCTTCCTTCTCGTTGGGAGACACAGAAGCGTAGAGAGCTTCCCAGCGTCGAAGACCTTCTAGCTTGGTGCTCGAGTCAACACGGCCATCTTGTCCAGTCTCGAGATTAACATTGATGCCATATTCTGCTGCTGTGTTTATAAAGAACTTTTCTTCTCTGCGGATGTTGACGAGAGCGGCGACGATCCAGTCTAGAAGCTTTGTTGTGGCTCCGGGATCGACATTGGGTTGCACGGTATCAGGGTACTCGAGAAAGCTGAGAAGACGACCAAGGCCACGGCAGTAGCTGTGGATGTAGAGACGATCGTTTGCAAGCCAGCGGCCGAGGAGCTCTTTTGATGCTTTGCCGTGACCTGCGAGCTTGAGGAATTCAGACTGGGTAGCTCTCTTGTAAGCTTGCTCGTCTGAGACGAGAAGCTGTTGGGTTAGAGAGTAGGACATGATAATGATTAATGAGGTATTTCCTCAGGTTGTTGATGCGGAGATGGCTTCATGGTCTGACGAGAGCTTGGCGAGTGGAATTATGTCATTGTCGGTTTAAAGTTGTTCCAGTGCATGATGTTAGTACTACAGGGTCCAAGTCGAGTCGAGTCCGATGTGAGATCTTTATGAGGCTACGATGTACGATCTTTGGTGTTTATGAGTTTAGGTTGTTTGTGTATTGTTGCGCCTTGTGAGACACTACTCTGAACTTTAATTGTACTATGACCAGAAATTTATTTGAGTTAATTGAGGTGTAAGATCCTTCTTCGTGATAAAGGACATATGTTTCGATGACTTGCATGCTCATGATAGCTACTGTGTATCTCAAACTCTACCATTAGTTCTCTCGTCAGCAATGACGATCAACTTCTCGGGCCGTATACTCGGCTGCCCGGCTCATCAAGTAAATTCGACTATACTCGGAATTCGTAGTAGCCTATGAGAAGCATCCATTCTCATTCAGAGTCTATCGATGCTATTCTTGGGAACGGACTGTCGGACTCTCGGAACCTCCAAGAATGTAAATACCCAGCATCGACGGAACATTCATATCTCCGTTAGGACCGCAGTTGATCTTCAACGCCATGTAATTTCCTCCCCAGCCTCATCCATGCCAACCATGTGTCCAAATCGCCCATCTCTTCGACCGCCAAAAGCTTGGCAACGTTCTATAGCCCGCTAATCGCTCACAATTGGACATCCAGCACGATCAACTTCCTGGTTCATTCTGCTTCAACCGTTGCGTGATCGCCGTTATCCCCGTCACGTTATTTTCTCTGCTGCGTCCCTTAATCTGGGGGAACGAACGGCAACGGGAAGCTTTGCTGACAGGGATCATGCAACCCACTTGGTTTAATTAATGATGGCATCCCCCACAATAAGGGGGTTGGTGTTGATTTACTTGATTGTCAGCAGACGAAGAAGAAGCAAGCAAATTATATTGCATTTGTTTGAGATTTTGGAATGGGCAGTTTCAGCTTGAGTTGTTCTCTTTGGTCTATGCTGTTTGTGCGGTGAGTTTCACGGCGCATTGATGGAGGATGCGATGTTAAGAGAATGCATGAATATGTATCAACGTCTAGTCATAAACTATTGATAGAAATGTCGATCAGGTACACGTAACATGATGTGACAAGACCAGTCTAGATCTCGTATCAAATCCGATTTCGAGAGGGTCAATTTCACTGCTCACGAGATGCAACCCTGATTTACAGGGACCCCCAGCGGCATCGAGGGGCTGAGCTTCTGAAACATGGAGCTCTCGGAAGCATGTCATTCAACTGAATGGCGCATCGTCAGTCTCGCATTGGCCTTTTAATGAATGCCTCTTGCCCTTGGATGCAATAAACCCCCCTTCCCTCTTTTTTCCTAGGTTTTGCTCCCCTCTTTAGCAGACTCGACTTGGCTCTTGATTGTTTCTTTCATTTTGCTCAGAATAAAACAAACTGAATCGTTAATTTAATTTTTTTTAACTACTGCACGCTCACTCACTTTATATCATGATTCTCGACACGGAATTAGGCGCCCTTGCGTCTCGCGCTGAAGGAATGGGTCTCACGCGAGTGCTGCCCAGAGGAGCCAAGGAAACATGTCACGATGACCAATACTCGGATACCTGCGAAAAGCCCAATATTAGCACAGGCGAGATCATGCTAATTCTCTTTGTCGCCAGGTATTTATACCCCATTGCTCGCATACCGGTGATTAAGTCTTGGCTTACCTCATTCCGCAGCGCCGTTGTAGCCCTTGGCGTTATCGCCATGCTATGCTACCTCCATCGCCGCCGCCAGCGCCTGGACAAACTCGAAGACCCGAAGGACTTCCAAGAACTCGACGACTACGGCATTGCGCCGGTCAAGCAAAAACCAGCAAATATGCCTCGAGCACCACCGCCGACGTATGAACGATCACAGGACAAGAAGGAGATGAATACGGCTTCGCCTGCGACTACGAATGAGAATTGGGGACGGCAGAGGGACTCGACTGATTCGTTAACGCCGTCGCTTCGACAAGCGATGGGGGTGACGCCCCGAGATGCATTGGCCAATCACTAGGGAGGCATTCCACTGTGGACGGTGGGCGGATGAGCTACTGCAGGTGTCGATCAGTTATGCATAATCGACCTGAGGTGTCGGGTGTTTCAGAGATGCAGCTACACGATAGTCGCCGATTTGCAGAGGGAATAAACAAAGATTGGCATGTCTTTACGATGGCGTTTGGGAGATCAATTGGTATGCACGGCGTACGGGCTTCTTGCAGGATGGCGTTCCTCTGGTCGGGTTTGGACTACCTTGCGCATGACTAGCGACAGTTTCCTTGACAACTCGAGAATATTTTGATACCTTGTTGCTGGCGATGCATCTGTGATGGGGAAGGAATTGTGACATTCCCACTGTGGTCTTGGGTGAGATGAGCCTCCCAAACCTTAGGTAAGACTTCGCTTGTATGTGACGATTTCAGTCCGGCCTTCTGAGGTTCTCTCTGCTTGCTGACTGAGATTAGAAGCTCACTACCCAATGCTAACATGTGTAACGAGATGCCTTGGGCGAAGTGCGTTCTCGTGTGTGTAACCTTGATTCAGTTTCATTCAGATCAGCTGATCACATTCGTGAAGTGATGGGGCTCAGTGTAACTGTGTTATCAACAAACTTTAGGGCATATGCTTCTTTGACGGCTGTGATACACTCTTAGAATTTAGACCTTGTGTGCCCCGATAAAGGTTACGTAGGTTTTGTGAGTCATGGAGTTAAATAAACGAGTTAATAGACCCTTCTTCCTCTGTCAAGGCAAACACATCGCAACGTTTCTTCTCTGAACAATCGTTTCTCAACATGGCTTCCGGTTGCAACCAGAACAGCAACGCTACACCACATTACTTACAAATCTTCAATCCCCCTCTTGAACCATGCGGCGACTTTCACCTGTTTGCACGCTTCCCTGATGATATTCGCTGGCTTGTTTGGCAGCATTTCCTAACTCACGAGCGATGGATCGACATCACCTTGAAACCGGGCAGTTTCACTAGCGAACAAAGGGAACAAACAAACCATCAGAACTACGAGATCATATTGAACTACCGCTGGAAGATAAGCAAGCTCTTCCGGACCACGTCTGAGTCACGCAGGGCTGCTTTGGCTTTTTACCGTGTTCAACTACCATGTTGGTACCAGAGAAAAGATAAGAGCATGGTGAACAGCACGCTCTATGTTTGTCCTGAATTGGACACCTTGATGCTTAACTGCTTGGAGGTCTTTGAAAACTTTGCACATGACATCTGGGCTTGTGATTCACGATGTGTCGGTCTGGTCAACCTCGCCTTGCCCGTCAGAGGTCAAACGCAAGACTTCAATACTCCAAGCATCACTGGGCGTGACACGTCCCGGTTGAAGGAAACGTTGTTGAGAATTGAGCGCTTTACAGTAATGAACACCTTTGCCATCCGTCGGTGGTTCGGCGGCTTTGCAAAGCGCTCAACTGTTCCGGTTTTCAAGATGAATCGTGCTGTGCCTATCATGGGACACTCGTTTGGCTTTCATCGATTATCACGCGATCCTCGATTGAATGAGGAAAATTTTAAGCAAATTTACCTTGGAAACAGAGATCCTGTAAGACGGTTCCATCGCTGGTTCAGACTCCTTCTGTCAGTAGGGGTGAAGCACAATCACGAGGTTGAGTATCGCTTTGGGAGCTGCCTTCGTTTATCTTCACCACTCATCACTGACCGAGCGAGCGCCATGGACTATGTGAAAAAGTCCCACGAGAAATTTATAACACGGATGGTATCAGAAACAGACGAGCCCCTGGATGACATCGCCGAGGAAACTGTCGAGCATCTTCAGGAAACACCGCAGCCAGCCATAGGGTTCTGGCTGTTTCCTCTCAGGATATTCAATCGCCTACCTCTTGCTGACCCGTCTCGTGAGTACCCGATAGAGCATGACGAAGAAGGTGGTACTCCTATCAAGGTATCATCGGCGTTGGAGTATGGGGCCGAGCTGTGCTTGGCTAATATCTACTAGTTGAACGTGTTTGGCTTTTGTGGTCTAAAACAGCGAAACTGTGTAGCATCCATAGCATAATGATCAATATCCTGGATGTAAACTGACGATTCGTCTGTGAATCAGACTCCACGTCAACCTAGGTATAATAAGACCTCTTCATCGCCTTGCCTCTTTCATTCATTCTTCCTCCTTTTTCAACATCAGCATCAGCAACCACAGCATCTAAATCTTCTTGACTCACATAACTCGCTGTCTTCCCATCTTTTCTCATCATGTCTGGCCAACGCCTCTGCTCGGTAAGAATGGCTGCCGCTGCACACATGCAGGGCAACAAGAGCGACGAGGAATCCATCGACGGCTCCAGCGACGAAGAAGCCCCTCAGCCCGGCGAAGTCCGCATGGGCAAATTCGGGACCTCCAAGGGTGCGAAAATCTACACCACTGGCCTGGCCACCTGCGTTAGAGTCGCGGTGACCGGTCGGTACCCAAATGGTGGATTCGAAGGGGACGATCGATTCCTCGCACACATTGCCGAATCAAAGCACAAGGCTGCACTCCAGGGTCTCATCGACGCCCTTGAGCGTGCCAAAGGAAACGGTCTGCAGGTTCGTGAGGTCGTCGTGGTCATCTTGGCTGGCGGAGGCTCTCCCGATTCCGAGCTGGATGAATTCAACGAGGAGGTCATCGACAAAATTCGAAACGCGACCGGAATGGAGCCAACTGTTGTCGAGCATACTGGAACCTACAAGATGTCTATTGAGGCCGACAAGCGCATCGACTATGCGGCCGACAATGCTGCCGAGTAACGACTTAACAAGATTTCGCCCCATGCTTCGTCTAAGGAATCATAAGGCTTAGGGAAGTTTTGATAAGTTTAGGGAGGTCTAGTCAGTCTACGGAATCATAAGGCTTATGGAAGCTTTGATAAGTTTAGGGGAGTCTAGTCATAACAAACCCTAAGTTTCCGCATAATATTGAAGACCTATGAGTGATGTTATAATACCGTAGTCCAAGTTCCAGTCCATATCTAGTAAGCATAAAACAACGTAGCCTCTGAATCGGTCTGCCTAATCTTCCTGTTCTGTCTGACCAGCATCCACCTCATAAGCCAGACTCCAGCAATACAAGCTACAGCAAAACCAGCACTGCTTGAGAGCGGCAGCACATACCGTGGTGCATCAGATTTGGGCCAGAGGTACTGCACGAGTTAGCGGTTGTTCTCAAGGATAGAGAGTCAAGGGTACTTACAGGAGTCCAGATCAGACTGAGTGTCGCACTGACGTTGGCGAGAGCTAAAGCAGAAGCCTTCTTCTCCCTCGTCTGTCCACATGTATTTCCCACCCAAGCCAGCAGAATAGAATTGACACCATAGGTACCGATAGTAAAGACACACATGGCAAAGTATCTCGCTCCAACGTTCATGGTAGCGCAGGCCAAGACAAAACCAAAGGTAGCGACGATCTTGGAGATGGTGATGTGCCAGGTACTCTCGTTAAAGTGGCCAGAAGACTTGGCCCAAAGGATTGAGAGAGCACCGGCGATCAAGAAAGGAGGACAGGTGAGGACAAGAGTGATAGTGGTGTTGAAGCCGAGCGTGTTGACGATGGTAGGGAAGAAGTTCTTGAAGCCGTTGGTCGCAAGGTGAAGATGCTGAAGAACGATGAAGACCCAGACTTTCGGGTCGACGATGGCTTCGCGCAGACCGCTCCATGGATTTCCGTCACCCTTCTGTCCGACTGTATCTCTCAGAACACGATCATGCGCAAGTTGTCGCTGCTCAGGTGTGAGCCATCGCGTCGTCAACGGTTCATCAGGAAGAGTAAAGCACGCAACGATAGCCACAACAAACGTAACCGCACCCTGAAGGATAAACAACCATCGCCAGCCCTTGATCCCCGCCAGTCCATCCATACCCTCAAAAACACCCGCCTCAATCAAGCCCGCAAAAGCAGAAGCCAGGACATTACCCGAGTAGAGAATACTGATCCTCGTCGCCAATTCCTTCCTGGTGTAAAACGTCGACAGCATGTACAGCGCGCCAGGATAATAAGGAGCCTCCACGATACCGAGGAAGAATCTAGTGAGAAGAGCGCCGGTGTAGTTGTGGGCCACGGCCGTGAGGGAACTGACGACGGCCCAAGCCATCATGAAACCGCCCATGTACCATGATGGTCTGACACGGGTGATTATCATGTTGCTGGGGATTTGGCCGAGGACGTAGCCGACGAAGAGGATTGAGACGGAGGTGTTGTACTGTGAGCCTTGGAGGTTGAGATCTTCCTCGAAGCCGTTTAGGCGGGCGAGGGTGATGGCGTTGCGGTCGAGGTAGTTGAGCCAGTACATCAACCAAAGGGTAGGCTATAGTCATGTGTTAGTTGAAGTATGTTCTTAATGGACGCGGGAAGACTTACCATGATCCATTTATCGAGCTTCTTGACGAGTTTGATCTCCTCAGGATCACTCTTCGCCACAGCACCAGAGTAATCACCATTACCCTTCTTATCAAGAACTTCAGCGGAGTACTCCTCATGAGCAGCATTTTGCTTCTCAGCATCAAGGGTCTCAGCGCCCATCTTGTGATCTTGGGATGTCATAGTGATTGACTCTCACAAAACCTATCTCGGAGAAGTTGTGGAAAGAATGGTGGTTGATGCGAAAAAGCAGGGGGATGTTGCGGTATTTGAACTTATTTCTCTGGGCTTGGGTTGTTCCCCGCATACCCCAGATTCTGGATATCCGGGGGTGGGATTGTTGAGGTGATCACCAAGAGGCGAGGAGCGAGAATATCCTGGTTTCGGGGACGGGACCGATGGCCGAGTTGTGGTTTTGCCAAGACGCCATTTCGGGGGAGCTAGATTGTCATGGAGGGGGATTTCTAGTGTTGAGTCAAGACTTGTGTAAGTGGATGATGATGTAGAGGATAACGATATCCGGGATAGCATTGGATCAATTCTATTTCAAGAGTCTAGTTGATGAATCGAGAATTATAGGTGGACACGAGAGTAGAATCGTTCTCTGTAATACGAGCGGAGATAAACATCCATCCTCGTAGTCGCATCACGATGCATCTATCATCCATCAACGTTGCAGTCCCAACCCCACGAGTCAGGATTAAGGTAACAATTAAGCTTAGTTCCCCCAATCCCACCCATCAAACCAACCAAAATAAAACCCGCATTCACTAACCGACGCCCCATAACTTCTCCTTCTCAAGCGGGGTCTCTCCATCCATCATCCTCTCACCATCTCGGCCTCGGTCTCCGTTGCCATCCATGCCCTCAAGCGCCTGCGACAGATGTCACCGCCGCAAAGTCCGCTGCGACAAGATCCAACCTCAATGCGGGCCCTGCAAACGCGCTGATGTCGCTTGTGAGTATGCTGTTAGTGAGCATCAGTTGAGGAGGAGGAATGTTCAGAAGTTGGAGAGGAAGATTAGGGAGTTGATGGATTGTAATGAGGGTTTGACGCAGCAGTTGAGGCGGTCGGAGGAGGTTGCCAGACGATCTGAGGATGTGACGAGAAGGTCTGAGGATGTTACTAGGAGATCTGAAGATGTTGAGAGAGGTGAGGCGTCGGTGGTGCAGGATACTCCTGGGGATGGAGAGGTGGCTGAGGAGGTTATTCAGATGAGTCTCATCGCAGGCGGAGGCCATCACTTTGTCGGTTCAACAAGCGGTCTTCTCCTCGCCAACCTCCTCCAATCCCGCCCTCAACCATCCTCGTCTCTCACCACATCCTGGAAACCAAACTCCCTCCCCGGCCTATCCTCACCACAAACCAACTCCGGCCTCCCACCCAAAACCCTCGCCTCAGAACTCCTCAAAGCCTACTGCAGCCATGATCATCTCTGCTACCCCTTCCTCTCCACAAAATCCCTCTACCGGTCTTTAGACGCCGTGTACGAAGACGCCAGCACCAAAGACCCCGTTGATGCCTTCTTCGTCGACATGACCCTCGCCATCGGCACGGCGCAGGTGCACAAGTTCAACTGGAATGGTGTATATGATGCTGAGACGCATTACAACCGCGCCATGACGAGACTGGCTGATGTGCTGGCGAGGGATGGGATCGAGAGGTTGCAGGCGCTGTTGCTCGTGTGTCAGTATAGGATGGGCACGACATCGAGTAATACCACGACTAGTGTTTGGCACCTCATCGGTGTTGCGGCGAGGACGTGTCTTGAGATGGGGCTTCATCGAGCAGCGACTTATGCGCTTCCGCGGACGTTAGATGAACCGACGAGGAAGGTGAAGGAGGAGGAGATGGAGACGAAGCGACGGTGTTTCTGGAGTCTTGTTGCGCTAGATCGCGTGACGAGTCTTGCGCTTGGAAGACCTTTGGCATTGCAGCTTGAAGACATAGACGTTGATCTTCCCCCTTCGTCAACAGCAGATCAACTACCCGAGGATAGTAGTCCTCTCTCATCAGCACCCTACGGAACACCTCAATACCGTGCTGCGACTTCTGTGTTCGTGCACATCGTTCGATACCGCCTCATCTGCGGGAAGATCATAAATGCTCTGCACCGGAGTGCTAAACACGTCACGTTCCCGAATACAAGCTACGACGAAATGCGAACAGCTCTAGCGAGGGAGTTATAAGAGTGGCACACAGAAACAGCGAACCTACCCCTTGTTAAGAGCGACACAGCTGCTTCACCTGTTAGTGGCTCTAGTTTCCGCTCTGAGGAATGGTATAGACTCTTGTACCATAATGGTATGCTCATGCTGTTTCGACCGTCGCCGTGTCTCAACGATGCAGCTGTGAATAGTCTCGCGCTGCAGAATATATACGACTCTGCGAGGGAGGCCATAAGTCTCTATGCAAGCCTCCACCGATCACGAAAGTTGAATTACTCGTGGATAACAATGCATTCCGTCTTCCTAGCCGGACTATCATACATCTTCGCCCTACGCCATCATTTCTCTGGTTCTGAACCTCAGCGCGCAAGGTTACATACAACACCAACGATCAGCCAAGTCGTCAACGACACGAGGGCTTGTTCAAAAGTGTTAGTAGCTGTGTCGGAGAGATGGGACTTGGCGAGGAACTGTTCGGATTTGTTTGATAGGCTGAGCGATGCGGTGGTTGCTGATGTCGTGGAGGCGAGTGTCGCGGCGCCGGTGCAGTTTTCGGCGGATCTGGCGGGTATGACTGTTGATAGTACGTTCCGGGATTGTTTTGGGGACTTGCAGAGTTTGGGCCTGGATGAGTTCCATAATGATGCTATTTCGCAGTTGAGTCAGGAGTGGTTTTTTGGGCTGGGGGGTGAGAGCCATTCGTATTATTGAGCTGTTGTCATCTCCTTGGTCGCGAGACTTTATCTTACAAGTTGTAGCTATTGGATGCCTAGTAAATATGTTATGAACTCAGACGAAATGTCATCTATCTGTTAATGACTATGTGCCTTGGTTCTTGCTCTGCCGTCAGTTCCAAAACTGAAAGGATTGTTGGGTGCAGAAGCATCATCAGCAATACCCATGAATAAGATAAGTATACTAATATTTCCCAGTCTAGTTCCCCGAGCATAGCAAGAAGGGTAAATCTGACCCATTGACTTCAGAGGGATCTCATATCATGTTCCATCTCATGTTGAGCAAGTGAATCGACGGACTCGGTCGCCGAAGCCGAAATGCCAGGGCCCGTGTAAGTGGATCGCCACTCGGCGCCGCGTCCGCCAATCCACAATCCACCGAATACAGGCTTATGATAAGTCATGAGAGACTGTCAACGTCCTGAATAATCCGAGATACTACACAATTAAGAACATCTTTATTCCGATGATCCACTAGTTAAAGGAGTGTTTATCAAGAGCCGCAACCTAGCCTCATTCCATTACTCTCAGCTCACTATAACTTTCAACCCAACTCACCTTGACTCACTATATATACACATATTCTCACATTGAACATCACTTCACTTCACTTCACACAAAATGTTGGACAGACCTCCAATCCGCATCGGCAACGTCTCCGGCGCAACAGGCGACCATCCCCACGCAATGTCCCGCATGGTCCGCTCCGGCAATGTGCACGTTATAACAGGAGACTGGCTCTCCGAGATGAACATTGCCTGGAACGCAATTACCAAGCAAGAAGTAGATCCCAATCTAGGCTACGAGAACGGCTTCTACGAGCAACTCGACGAGTGTCTTGACGATATCATGCAGCGCGACATCCGCGTCGTAACCAACGCTGGGGCACTCAACACTGATGCATTGTATGACAAGGTCAGAGCGCTCTGTGAGAAGAGGGGGTATGGAGATTGTGTGGTTGCAAAGGTGCTAGGTGACGATGTTTCGGATGTTGTGGGGAGGAGGGATGTGCAGATTACGCATTTGGATCATCCAGAGCAGACTCTTGAGTCTTGGGGGTTTACGCCATGTTGTGCTACTGCGTATATCGGATGTTGGGGTATTGTTCAGGCGCTTCGCTCTGGTGCTCGGATCGTTATCTGTGGTCGGTGCACTGATGCTTCTCCTGTGATGGGCGCTGCGGCGTGGTATCATGGCTGGCGAGAAGATCAGTACGAGGAGTTGGCTGGTTCGCTTTTAGCTGCTCATCTCATTGAGTGCGGTCCTTATGTCGTTGGTGCAAACTTCTCAGGGTTCAAAGACTTTCTACCTGAGCTCGTGGATATTGCATTCCCCATTGCCGAGATCGATCCAAGAGGACGGTGTACTATTGGAAGAACAGCAGAAGGTGGAGGAAGAGTCACAAAAGAGACCGTCACCGCACAATTACTCTACGAGCTTCAAGGGCATTTATACTTGAATCCTGATGTTGTTGCAGATCTCTCTGGGGTACACGTCGAACAAGAGTCAGAGAACCGCGTCTCCGTCTCAGGAGTGAAAGGCCTCCCTCCACCGCCAACAGCAAAAGTCATGATCGCCGCAAAAGGCGGCTTCCAAGCCGAAGCAACATTCTACATCAACGGTCTCGATGTCTACGAAAAAGCAGCCATGATGAAGAACCAACTAGCACACATGTTCAAAGACTCAAACTTTAGCCGTCTAAGCATCGAGCTTTATGGCACACCGGCTGAGAACCCAACGTCTCAACAAGCAGGCACCGTATCACTGCGTGTCTTTGCGCAAGCTCGTCGAAAGGAAGACATCGACGCGCCCAAGTTCAAAGTACCCATTTACGCACTTCGCATGCAGAGCTATCCGGGGTATCATATGAATCTTGACTTTAGGACTATGGTGCCCAAGCCATTCATGGAGATGTTTCCAGCGCTCATGCCTGTGTCTGCGATTGAGCATCGCGTTGAGATGAGTACCGGCGCATCACATCGTATTCAACCACCAGCAAAAACAGCAAAATATCCTATCGTACGGCCCTCGACGGAAACGCATGGACCGGTTGACATGCTTACTTTCGGACCGACGGAGTGGGCGCCGCTGGGAAGTGTTGTGCATGCGAGATCAGGCGATAAAGGTGATAATTCGAATGTTGGGTTCTTTGTGAGGAATGATGATGAGTATGCTTGGTTGAGGAACGTGTTGACCGTGTCGAAGCTGAAGCAGTTGTTTGGGGATGATTGGTTCAAGGGTGATCCTGAGAGGAGGGTTGAGAGGGTTGAGTTCCCCGGTATCAACGCTGTGCACTTGTAGGTCCCCCGTGTGAAGACTCTGAAGCTGAAGAATACTGACATGATGTAGCCGTGTTTTGGATAACTTGAATGGAGGGATTGCGTCGTCAGATCGCATTGATGGTCTTGGAAAGGGAATCGGCGAGTATCTGAGGAGTCGATACGTCGATGTACCAAAGGCGTATCTTGAAAGAGGACGGATCTAAAAGTAGGAAAAGTAGACACGTTCAAATAGATTTCACCGAGGCTTGTCGCACATCATCGAAACCTGGTGTTCTCCTGTGCTCTCCCTATTTTATATACATATTTCTCGTCATTCTCGGAAATCACTCGTTACTAACAAGATATCACACGCCTCAATATCGCTGCGATAAAATAACTCGCCAAGCTCGGAGTATGGCAATGAAGCCACTCTTCGTTCGATTTAGAATTCGCAATCAGAACGTCTTGAAATCCGCTGTTACAGGTCGCCGGGAGTATACAATTGAGGTGTGGTGGTTAGAATGTGTATGTAAGCATGGTATTATTTTTAAGAGAGTTGATAAGTCTGCGGTACATCCAAGTGTCTCTAAATCATAGCATAATTTGAATGTTCATTATCCCTCAGCCGGCAAAGCTTTATTGGGTTAATTCTTAGACATGGATATCTTTCGAGGCTGACCTGCAAACTTGGAGAATTATAATTTAAAAAGTTTTATGATATACTACGGGAGCATGATACCAGGAGAGAGACTACATATATGTATTAAGATGGTAGGCTAATAAAATCGGTTTAAACATGACTAGTCTCAGGGAGCAAGAAAACATTATACCTTGATAAGGTATAGGGTGTCAAGATAAGCTCAGCAAAAGGTATCCTAAACTTATGCCAAGTTACCTAAGTATTTTGTCATTTAGGATCAAGGTCCTGACTTTTCTTTCCTCCCCTAGACTGCCCGGGTCAAATCAATTGAATGTTGTTGTTGATCTCCAATTCTGTTTCCGTGACGTCGTTTGCGTATCTCAGGCAGTCCAGCCTAAGCCAAGAAAAGCAGTAAATTCTAGCGGCGGCGCCCTGCAAAAACTCCCCACAAGCTACCCCATGCGGCCTAACGCTACTCCACTCGGGCCAGTGACAAGCTCGGAACAATCGCGTTTTCCGAGCGGCGGCCGAAAGAAAAGCAGTAAGTGGTAGCTAAAAAAAATTATTCTACAGAGGGCCCCCGGCCAATGCGACACCATAGTCAGAGGGAGAAACCTTGCAACTGGGTTTTGGCCTTCAGAGCTACCCTACCCGACGGGAACGGAAACAGGCTTGCGCGATTTGCACTTGCGTTCTTCTTTAACCTCAACTTGTAAAAATACTCTTCTTCCTCTTTTCTTCTTCCCGTCTCTCCTCGTGTGCGGTGCCTCGGTTTTTATATACATCTCTCTCTCTCCTCCCCACGAAAGCTCTCCTCTCTACCTCTCAGATACCCCCCACTTGTCATCATGTTGTCTCGAGGATCTCTTCGATCGGCCCAGGTACGTTTCTTTAATGGTGGTGTTGCTTTTGTTTTGTTTCTGTGTCATGATGGTCTTTTGTGGTGCTTGTGTTACATGAGGAGGAATGCCTTTGGGCAATGGACTTTTGTGGCTGTCTGACGATGATGTGCATCATGTCATGATCATCATCGCGACATCACAACAAGCGAGAATTGGAGTTTTGCGTGGTGGGACATGATTGCGGGACAAAGACCACAACCACGCAAATGGCTCAGATTGATTATACGCCGTCTTCACTACTCAATTGAGCCTGTTGCTAACAATTCTTCTCAGCTGCTGCGCGGCGTCGCCAAGCAACAACCCCAGCTCGCCCGATCCTTCGCCACCGTTCAGTCCGACATCTTCAAGCCCGCCAAGTACGGCGGCAAGTACACCGTCACCCTAATCCCCGGTGACGGTATCGGTACCGAGGTTGCTGAGTCCGTCAAGACCGTCTTCAAGGCCGACAACGTCCCCGTTGAGTGGGAGCAGATCGAGGTCTCTG